CTTCCACCGGTGGAAGCGACCCGTCAAAATAAAAGCTGTAACGCGGGACCGTTTAGTGCAGTGACTTACCTGGTGTGTTTCAGCGGTTTAGTCTCTAGATAACACATTGATTTAATTTAACATTATAAAACCTGCAGGGTGACTACTGTGCACAAGTACACTGTGATGACGATGCTCAAACGATACGTTGTGCGGCTCGACTTCCTAAACTTCAAAGGTTTTAAGTTCGGTTTGAATGGAACGTTGTTTGGACTTGTGTCTCTGCAGCTCCARCGAGCCGTGGCTGTGAAAAGGACCATTCAGGACGTGTTGGACCGCTCCCCTCGCCTGCAGGCCCTCACMCCCCCAAAGACCAGAGAGGTGGTGCAGTGGTGCCGGCAACGGGGCCACACACCGCCGGACCCCGAGCCCCAACACAAGAACGACGACGAGTCCATCGAGGACATCCTGACRCAAATCGACAGCGAGCCAGGTAGGTTTGTGCCTGTGTGTTTCTAGAACACTGATCCTCTGCAGAGAGAGGAGAGGTTGTGATTTTCAGTGTGTGGGTGTTGCGCTCCTGCAGTTACCACTTGATACTGTAATGTGTATGCAATATATTCAGCTGTGAGGGCGGCCGAAGTGTAGCCTTTTTTTTTGTTCAGCTGAAATCCCATTCWCAGGGAGCTCGTAACATTTCAGTCCTTTGTCTCTAAAAGGTGAGAGGCGAGGCTGTGCGGCTCAGTGAGTCACTTGACCTGAGCCTGTTTTTGTTCTGCTCACTTTGTGTTTGCACAAACACGTTCRCTCTGTAATTGTCCCATTGTTGGATTAATAAAAACTTCCTGTGGTAAATGTGAACTTCTCCGCAGAGTGCCCGTCGACCCTCAGCAGCTATGAGCAGCTGGTGCTGCGGCTGGAGCAGATGCAAGCTCTGCTCAAGACCGAACCAGAGGAGGCCGATGACGAGATTGTCGACATCGTCACYGTGACTCCTCCCTGCCAGAGGTTGAAGGTCAAAGAGGAGGAGGAGCAGGAAACGGATGTGGAGCCTAAGTTTTTCCTGGGCCCCTCTGTTTCCTCTCAGTTTGTCAGTGAAGCAGCACAGCAGGTTGGGTTTATGAAAGTTAAAATGCACTGAATACGTATAAAGTTGCACAAGTTCTGTTCTGTTTGATCATTTTAATGCATAAAGTTGTTACACAACTTCTGTTTTATGATCCCTTTGTATCCTTTAGATTGGGATAGCCTTTCAGCCGGTGGAGGTTGAGACAAATGTTTTTGCTCCGGTTGTGGAAGCCATGATTCTGAAGGTCAGTGACGTCGTAAAGCCTGAGCAGATTTATGACTGTGTTAATGGATAAGCAGACACCATTTGCTGAAGTATTGAGTCTTTTCATGCAGAGGGCCTGAAGGTAAAGTTTGTGCTGTGAATTGGCAGCACAACATTTCACTGCAAACTGAATGCACACACACACAAGTTTGCATTTCTACCCTTATTAGGCCTGTTCAATGACTTCCATTCATTTCCAGTCGTTTTCATGGCTTAACCCTGACAACTTACTCTAAAAAGTTTTACCTTTAAACATCCAGTTATATATGACCCATCACATCGAAATGAGGATTAAGTCAAATTTGGTCAAAATGACTTAATCCTATTTT